TAGCTTGATATCCAATTCTCATCGCGACAGTTTTCATATCTTGATGAATCGTTGTTGAGAGGTATCTCTTTTTGCAGATAAAAAAAGATGAAAGAAATAAGGTTCAAGGTGTTGTTGGTGGTGACGATGAAGGATGGTCAATGAGGAAGGAAGTTGTGCGTGAAATGTGAAGGAAATGTTGAGGATTCGTGAAAGGAATCTCCCTGTAGCACTAAATGTTATTGATTCATATTTGGATCATGAAGGTAGATTAGGAAATCCATTTAAAGAGTTTGTTATGCAATTTTATTTTTGAAGTTTGTTATGAAGTTCTTGTTGCGCCTTGTATTTGCATCTTTTTTTTCATCACCTTGCCTTGTAGTCTTTCATGCTTGTATGCTGTAATGAGCCCTGATGATGTATGCTATTTGCACCCTTTAATTTGTAAATGGGTCATGTATGCTAATTGTATTGGACTTTGACTCGTATGAACCATGATGGCATATGATAATTGAAACTTGAATTTCCATGTGGATGTCATACTTAAATTGAATCCAAAAATCACACTTGAGACTAAATCTCATCATCTTTGATTTCTTGATTAAAACCAATCTTGAGATGAATGAATTAAGCCTTGAATCAATCCTTGAGAAATGAACCCAAAAAATGAGTCGATCTTGAACACATAGCCACTTGAACCACGATGAACCAAAATCCTCATTTTGAATCTTCTTGGACAATATTATGGACCAAATGAACATGCCTTAAAATTAGAGATCATGACTTGAAATATGAGCCCCAATGCACTTGAGTTCATCCAATGAACTTGAACTTGCACAAACCCCTAAATTGTAAGTAATCTTGATCACTTGATGATCTTCAAACATGAAACACATGAATTTGACATATCCTTGCCCCTTAAAATGATCCGTGAAAAGGATAACTTGAAAATGAAGCAATCCCTTTTTCCTTGACTAAGATTAGGTTAAACTATACTTGAATCTCAACCATTAATGAACATGCACACACACTTGACCTGATAACCTTGAATGAGTGTTGATTCACCCTTGCAAAACCTGAGCTTAGACAACAATAAAAATGAAAGAAAAAGGCACATATTTTGGATTTTGAATGCACAATAGTTAGATGACATGTTAGTAAATATGATGCAACAAGAATAATACAAAACCTAATTTACAAAGGCCACAAGCAAGAAAAAGATGGCAAACATAAGTGACCTTGGTGAGAACTTGGAAAGCAGTTAAAGGAAATGGTCATATGCATACAAATGAAGGTAATACTTATAGGTAGGACAAAACTAGGGTATGACAATCTGCATCTTGATTTCGATTAACGATCAAAATTGGTGGACGTTCAGCCTCCCTAGGCCTTGCTTGTTCGACCACGTAAGGCACAAACTGTCGCCCCCGATTCATCGTGCTTTCGTCAAGGACTACCGCCTTGTTTCGAATTGTCCCAGCCACTTGAGGTTGTATTATGGGTCAAACTTTCATCGGAGGCGCGCCAAAGAAATCAACAATTTAATTCATTTGATTTTTCAATTGTTGGTAATTATGATTTGCATTCTAAGTCAATAGGTTAAATACGATACCCATTTGTTGGGTGAGATTATTGACCATGTCATGATTACTCTCTCGTCCATATTTTGTGCCATTCCCATCATATAATTCGTAGTGAATGTTAGCATTGCTTGGGAACTAAATCCATTTCCTAATTGGGGTTGTATGGTTCGACTAGGGTTACCTATGGCTGAGCCAGATGCAAGTATTGGCATATACGCATTTGATGCATTATTAGCAAATGTTGAAGGGTTCATTTGGAGGTTTTCCATCATAGACATTGGCATACCAAAGGGTTGTTCATACTAAAATTCACTGTCATATTTGGTTTAGGAGTCACTGGGTGACTCTGTGTGATTGAAGGGGAAAAAAACCTTCCCTTCTTATGCAATTGATGGATCACCTATCCTTAACAGTATGGCCATCGTGCTAACAATAGAAGAGATTGACTCAGTCGAACTTGCAGTGACTGTGCTTGCCCCATGCTATTGGATGGTTGTTCTCCATTATTGTTTCTGGGAGAAACCATTCTTCTAGTGCACTTCCTTGATGGTTTCCTAACTTCTCTTTTGGTTATTTTATCACTCCTCAATCTCATGCACACTCACACCTTGAAAAAAAATTTAAACGACGAAGTTTACAAAAAAAAAATTTCAAAAGCAAAAGGTAAAAAAAAACTCACACAAAAAGTGTCCTATCAGACGTTCCAATTTGTTTATCGTGAAATTTAATAAACAAAACAAGTTTCAATTAATAAAATATTAAACATGAAAAGATCCCAGGATATATTTGTGTGAATTATGAATTTTAAATAATATATTGGTATGAAAATCAAAATGCAATGTTTGAGAGATAATAGTTAAAATTGACTAAAATTGAAATGTAAAGAACTTGAAAGTAAAATGACTAAAGATAACTTGAATGCAGAAAATGACTTGAGCATAAAAAAAAATTGTATTCATAAAAGTGGAATGCATACGTGCATTCTTCACTCGTTTCTCAATCATACAAATACTTAGAGTTTTGTAGAATTTATGTACAATTGTGAACCTCTAGAACATAGCCAAACATCTACTTATATACTACTCTAAAATAACCGTCTACAACGGTCGACTAAACCACACACGCCACGTCTTCATCTCCATGCAACCTTCATATTCGACAGACCACCACGTGTCCTTGAATAACTACCTGATTTTATCCAATCACACCTCATTCGACTACATATAGAAACACTGAGGACTCTAAATTTCACTAAGTCCCCAAACTCGACAGACCGCTCTTGTCTCTTACTCGCTATAATTAAATACATCTTTTAACAAGTCGAATCCATGAGAACCAATGAGGACATAACCAACCATTTATACTTTTCTCAAAAACTCTTGTATGATCCTTTTTTCAACTCTGCAATTAATGTGTGTCGAAAATCTAAAGTAACAGTATGTCACTAATAAATATAGGTACAATGGCATGCCTTCTTTTGGGTGCTTAATACTGGCAGGGTTTCCAAAAAAGTTGTCAATCTTGCAAACACCTCCTCGTATTCACCCATCCATTCAAACTTCTCCTTCTTCTTCAAGGCGGCAAAAAAGTGAAAAGCCTTGTCTCATGTACAAGAAAGAAATCTAGAGAAGGCAACCAATCCTTTTGTTAGGTGTTGAACTTTCTTAATTATGGTAGGGCTCCTCATATCTTTGATGGTTTGGTATTTATCCAGATTTTCCTTTATCCCTCTTCTAGTCAACATGAAATCCAAGAATTTTCCAGCATGAACCCCATAGGAACATTTGGAGGGGTTCAAACGCGTGTTATATCTTTTGACTGACTTTAGAATATCTTTTAGATCACCATATTGATTTTCTTCTTCTCGGGTCTTTGCGACCATGTCATTAATGTAAACCTCCAGAGTTCACCCTATGTGATTAGAGAATACAACATTCATTAACCTTTGGTAAGTTGTGCCGATATTCATTAATCTGAAAGGCATTAACCTTTACATCCATTTTTCAACTTAATGAATCTTTTTCCTTTCTTTCTTCAAGAAATCATCTTTCTCATTCACATATTTTCAATCTCAGGAATCTTTTTTCTTTCTTTCTTTAAGAAAACATGTCAGGTTTGTTTCATAGTGCCATTTATTTCACATGCATTGTGTGCGTTTTCCATGAAACTGCGGTTGTTCTTTATGCACAAACCTCCAATGTTGATGTTAAAAGGATGCTTGAAGAACTCTTGACTACCCTGGTACTCTTCTATGACATAACTCAATATTTCTCTCTTTTGGTAATGACAATTATCCTCCCTAATGAGGGAACATACCAGACAATGCTATTGATGACAATCAGTGGCTTATGCCTACAAAAGATCTAAAGGAGGTCTAAATCCACAAAGTTCACCCTACGAATGTTTAGATGTGGTATGGAGATAACAACCATCATCGTCCTTCTAGTCCTCAAATTGTCATGGTAACATCTGCAAATGGTTTCTTGATCACCTTATATCACACCAATACACTCATTCTTTAGTGGATACTTCATGCTCAAGTAAAGTGTTGACAAGGCAACCCCTAAGAGTTCAAAAGCAGATCACTCGATGATTATGTTGTAGAAAAAATAGATATCTATTAGGAGATACTTGATTTTTTAAATCATTTTTTGCGCTCTCATTTAATCTGAACACCGTCTTAAGAATAATGTAGTCTTTCATCTACACATGTTCGTCAGAGAAACCAACTAAAAACCTTCTAAAAGATTGAAGGACATCTCAATCGAGCTTTAGTCTTTCAAAAACATTCTAATATAAGTTGGTCAACTAAATTTCTCAAAATCTACCAATACATTGCACCTTTGTAAAAATAGAGTCTTTTTCATGAGAGGTGATTTAAACTTGGTTGGAGAATCTTCTACTGCTATGACTTGACATGCATATCATTTAAGTTAGATTCACTACTTCTACTTGTTTTTTTTTTTCTTTTCAATTTACAGTAGTATTATTTTACTCTTTTATCATATAGTATTTTATTCGATGTCCTTTCTGTTAGATATTTTTGTTGAAATAACAATGCTCCTATTAAATATATTACCGTACCGTTAGATTACATCCTTAAATAATAATTATACTGTAGTGATTTTGAGATCGAACAGTTGATAATTAAAAACATTTCACCCACTTAAATTGAAATCAACAATCCTATGTAGACAAAAGTGCAACAGCACCACAAGGACAACACAATTATTCAAAAATCTCATTATTACTCCATTATTATTTTGCAGTAGAGTAGATATCTCGCTGTCACGCTACGCGCTATACTCAATACTTGGTATTCGAATAACCTCTTTAAATTTCCCTTTAACTTTGGTTTTTCTCCCAATACTTCATCTTCCTATAAAACATACTATGAAATAGTGAAGACATAGCTACATTTGGTGCATTAATAACACAATGAAGAAAACTCAAACACAAACACAAACACTTCTTCTTGTTGCAATCTTTCTATGTTTAACCTTAAACACACTCTCGCTCTCAACTCTCACAATCAATGACCAATCTCTTACCTTCGAAAATGACCGTCTCCGAAACGCTTACATTGCGTTACAAGCTTGGAAACAAGCCATTCTCTCTGATCCACAAAACTTCACTACCAACTGGGTTGGACCCAATGTATGCAGCTACACCGGTATTTACTGTGCTCAAGCACCAGACAACCCTAAAATACGCACGGTCGCCGGTATTGATCTCAATGATGCCGACATTGCCGCTTATTTACCCGATGAGCTAGGACTCTTACAAGATCTCGCACTTTTCCACACAAACTCTAACAGATTATGTGGTACAGTTCCTCACACTTTTGAGAAACTGAAACTTCTCTTCGAATTGGATCTCAGTAACAACAGATTCGCCGGGAAGTTTCCGGAAGTTGTGTTGCGTCTTCCCGGCCTTAAATATTTGGATTTAAGGTTCAATGAGTTTGAAGGAACGGTTCCTAGAGAGTTATTTGATTTAAACATAGATGCTCTTTTCATAAATGATAACCGGTTTTCGTCTGTGCTTCCGGAGAATTTTGGTAACTCTCCGGCTTCTGTTGTTGTTCTGGCGAACAATAAGTTCCATGGGTGCATTCCTTCTAGTATAGGAAACATGTCGAATTTGAATGAAATTAGTTTTATGAACAATTTGTTTAAGTCGTGTTTGCCTGATGAGATTGGGTTGTTGAAGAATCTAACTGTTTTTGATGTTAGTGTTAATCAGTTTGTGGGAACTTTGCCTGCGGCGATTGGTGGTGCGGTGAGTTTGGAGCAGCTTAATGTGGCGGATAATTTGTTATGTGGGAAGATTCCGGCGAGTATTTGTATGTTGCCGAATCTGAAGAACTTTACGTTTTCGAATAATTTCTTTACTGGTGAGCCGCCGGCATGTTTGAGTTTGCCGGCGTCGGATGATAAGAGGAATTGTTTGCCGGCGAGGCCGTTTCAGAAATCTCCGGGAGAATGTGTGGCGTATTTGTCCAAGAAGGTAGATTGTAAGTCGTTTAAGTGTAAGGCATTTGTTCCTTCTTTTCATTCACCGTCTTCGCCGGCAGTGTCACCTACCTCTCCACCGGGATTGCCGGGAGTGGCACCTTCCTCTCCACCGTCAAAAGTGTCACCAACCTCTCCACCACTACCAGGAACGGCACATTCTACTCCGCCGTCAAAAGTGTCACCAACCTCTCCACCACTACCAGGAACGGCACATTCTCCTCCGCCGTCAAAAGTGTCACCAGTTTCTTCACCACTTCCTGGAACAACGCATTCCCCTCCACCGCCGCCAGGAACAGGACATTCCTCTCCACCATCGTCACACTCTTTTCCACCGGGGCATTCACACTTTTCTCCACCAGGGCATTCACCACCTCCATCTACATCTCCAACAACTCCAGTGGGGTCGCCACCGTCACACACTCCAGTCCCGTCGTCTCCGCCACTAAATACACCACCAGCTCCTGCTCCTCATTATGACTCACCGCCGCCTCAGGCTCATTCACCTCTACCGTCACCCCATCCTTCCCATGTCCTTTCACCACCACCGGGAATGACACCTTCCTCTCCACCACCAACTCACTCTTCCCCACCGGTGCATTCCCATCCCCCATCTACATCTCCAACACCTCCTCTGGCATCACCACCGTCTCCCCCACTAAATTCACCACCACCTACAGGTTCTCATAATGGCCGATCACCGCCTCCACCTCATTCACCCCATCCTTCCCCTGTTCATACTTCACCGACACCACCACCTTCTCAATTCCCATTCCCTTCTATACAGCCTCCGTCACAGGCACCACCACCATTTTCTAAAGAGCATTCACCTCCACCTCCACCATCTTCTTCATCTCCCACACCACATCCACGGGTATATGCCTCTCCACCTCCACCAATTCAACATACTCCTCCATCACCACCACCTCCTTCTCCTGTCCATCACAGTTCACCGCCTCCACCACCTACCCCTGCATATGGAGGACCTTTGCCACCCATCGTCGGACTCCCATACGCATCGCCTCCACCCCCTCCTTACTATTGATCCTATTAGTATCTTATCTCCTCTTACCCTTTTCCTCTAGACACAAGTCATTTAGTCACGTTTTTGTTATTGTGGCTGAGAATCTGAGATCCTCCTCTATTATATTATGCTACTATGTTAGAGAAGAAATCCTCTAAGTATTAATTTTGAATTGTTATGAATATTTTGGTTGTGAAATGCAAGAGTAACTTGTAGAGAAGAAGAAAATGTATGTATGGAAATGAACAATTCATGGCCATGGAAACTTTTCATTTCCAATTTAGTATATGTAATGTATTATTATAGTTTATCAACATTTCATTTCAATTTTATTGATCTTATGTAGTCAGATTTTGGATTTGAATGTTCCTGCTATGCTGAGAAACTTGATATGATGCTGCATTAGTGTTCATCATTTTTTAAGCAATGAATTTGTCATTCATTGCTTGGAAATAATAGTGTTGCTAAAAAACATGTTTGTAGATGGAAATTATATTCAATACAATACAATGATGGTGGTGGCTGGACATCCCAAGGGAGATCCAGCAAGAGTCCATTTATTTAATGAAGTCCTGTTCTTGATTAGTTAATAGGAGTAGTTAATTGAAACAGTGTATTTGATTAATAGTAGCAGTGTTGTTTAAAATTATCCCACCATCCATGTGCTAACTGTGTTCTTAGTTTTGAGATTTGAGTTACACATTTTCCCATTTCACTATGAAGTTAGAACTGTTAAGGTTGTGGAGTAAAATAACAAGTGAGCTGTTTCCAGGTAACTCTTTCTCAAGGCACTGTCTCTCTGCAGTGAAATTTTGATGGTCATGAGTAGAAATTATGTCTGTTTGTCTTTGTCTGTTCTCAATTGCTATTGCTTTTGATGTTAAAAATTGATTTTTTTTTCCTTCTAAAAGTAGAGTGTAAAATGGTATAATCATTGATTTCAAACATTACAAGCTAAAAGTTTGTCATTGCTTTTTCCCCCCTAAAACAAAAGAGTTTCTTGTCCAAGGGATGTGTGTTTTTGCGCTAAGTAAGGAACATGGCTTGCTTCTGTTGTTCCTATGCTTTATTGCTCAATGTACATTTTGGAATTGTAGAGTCTTAGAAAAACATTTCGCCCTGAACGTCTCATATGTGAGGGGTTGTGTTTTAGGCCGAGTCATATCGAGTGGGTTGAGTTCTAATTCAGACTTATTAAAGTCTAATTCAATGAATAACTCTTTTAACAGAATAGGGTCGGATTGAGGCAGTTGACAGGTCAAATTGATCATGTCCTCAAGACTAATACAAAGACAATATTTGATTAAGATACAATAGATAACATATTTAGGGATTGATTGAAAGCATTGTGGCCTGAGATTTGACATTTAAGTCTGATTGCCAGTCACCATTAAGAGATCACACAGATCAGGGGCAATCACATTGAATAGCCTCTGATAGGCCTTAGGTACAGGACGAGTCATAATTACTATATAAGGGGATGATCAAAAGGAGAAAGATATACACAATTTATAGAATAGAGAATCGATCAAGCAATGATTGTGACTTTACTAATCCTCACTGATAGAGTTATCATTGATGTACTTTTATGAGTATGTTTGGCGCCCACCGCGTGGTCGATAAAACTGACTTGGGCCACACAAGTCAATCACAATAGCAGTTTGATCTCATCCCACGATGACGAGGGCTACCGCCAGTAGCAACAGCAACAATAATTGAGCTACCATTGCAGAGATGCTAGCCACCATGGACGAGTTGTGCCTCCAGCACGAAGCATTATAAGAGAGCGTCCATGACCTATAATAGTAGTCGCATGCAAAACCAAAATCAATCAAGAAAAAGGAGCCCACATATCCCTAACTACTTGTTGCAGAGATTTGCTCTAGTTTTTGACAATTTCAAACTACCATCCCTGATATCATTTAACGACAAAGTGATGCTCAAGACCAGATAATCACCATAAGCACTTAGATGGCTATTGTGGGGATGAATGACTCACATAAGTGAAAATTGATGGTCGTGGCGTTGAAAGAAATTTCCCTTCAGCGATATATGAACCTTTAAAGGTTCTCGATGTCAAGTTACTAGAATCTAACAAGAAAAAAAGCTCACCATTTATCGACCAGCAAGCACATAAATGTTTCCATGATGATTCTATTTAATGTTCTCCACGGCTATTTCAAATCTTTGGATGAATATTTAGCCAGATTCAATCAGGAAACTATCAAAGTCTCCAATCCAAAATAAGAGATGTCTGTTGAAGCTTTCCAAAATGGCCTCAAGGTCGATTACTTTAACAAGTCCTTGGTCTAAAAATCTACAGTGTCAATGGAAGATATCATGGTGAGAGAGGAATGTTCTATCAAAAGGGAATAAAGCAATTCTAAAAAGAGAACCTAAGATGCAAGATAGTGAGGCAGTGTAAAATCTAAAGTATTTGACCAACGAAGAAAACATAACACGATTCCAATTAACGAGAAATCTGCATTCAAGCACTTCATAAGGCCATTAGAGAACTTCACCCTATTAAACACGAGGAGAGAGCATATCTTCCAAAACGTCTACCACACCAAGGTCATTCATAAACTCTCTCTCCAAAGTTCATAAAAGTAAGATACTTGATGGTGAACGCCTCTTCCTCATATAATATCATCATCAGCATGCCTTATTTCTATTCCTTGAGATGTTTTTTTCTGTCTATTATCTATTTGACAACGAAATAGCCCCTATACAGTGAGCATGTATGGGTGGCTATAGGATATCGGGAAGTGACAAGAAAATCTTATCAAGATAGCTTAGGGATTATAATAAGAAGGGAGATGATCCCATCACACAACACCCTCAGGGTCAACTATGTTGACCTAGACCATAAGGATGATTTCTTTGAAGACTTGTTGAAACTAATGAAGGAGTTAAAAGTGATAGAGATAGGTCCTCACAATCATTAGACTATTCAAGTAGGGCACCATTGACTAAGGAGGAAGAGAATGACATTGTCCAACTACTTCGGAAGAATATAAATCTATTCTCATAGGCACCATTAAATATGCTTTAAATAGACCCCAATATAGTATGCCACTAGCTTGCTATCAAGCTCGGTTTTAAGTTTGTCACACAAAGGAAGCTTAAAGAGGGAGAAGACAAGAAAACGACTATCTCTGAGGAAGTTAAGAAGTTGAAGGAGGTTAGATTTATACGAAAGATCAGGTTCCTAACGTGGTTGGATAAAATAGTAATGGTGAATAAGACATCGGGTAAGATGATTGATGGGGGCTCAGGTTTTCGAGTTTTGAGCGTCATGAACGCTTATTCAAGTTACAAAAATAATAAGAATGAACCCTAGTGAAACTCTAAAAACCGCGTTCATAACCAATCATATCAAATTTTATCATGAGGATAGGAACTGGGATAATGCAGCAGCAACCATGCCAATTAACTACATAACCTCTTTTATGAAAGTCAAACTTCTCATATTGATTATCAATTCGAATTTATTAGTGTTTGCCTTGATTCCTCTCCTTGTTAGCATTCACTCTAAGAACTTCCCAGCATGTACTCCAAAAGAGAACTTGTTAGGGTGCAAGCACATATTGTACTATTTTATAAATGTTAGAGTTTTTCTTAGGTTGTCTCTATACTTTTCTTCATCTGGGATCTTGAAAACCATGTCATTAATATAGACTTATAGGTTCTAATCAATTTTCTCATAGAAAATTTCATTCATTCACTTCACCATGGTCATTCTATAAATGAGAAATGAATATGTTATGGTCATTCCGGCTAGCCCCAGTCCAACTCAAATTTCTACTAGTAGGGGTGAACTACTTAACCAAATGGGTAAAGGCATATGTGATAGCAAAAATAATAGCAGAGAGGTCACAATACTTATATTGGAGGAATATTATTTATAGGTCCGGCTTACCAAAGACCCTCATATCTGACAACATGATACATTTCTAATCGTACCTGATCAAAAGGGATCACTGGTCTGCCATGCGGCGTCGACTGGTAACTTCCCCCGGAGATAGGGAGAAGGAGGGGGTGTACCTGCAAGACACTCTGATGCTTAAGTAAGTAAAGGATCAAAGTGGGAGAGAAAATACAGAAGTAGGTGTAGAATGGAATACCTGACCCTCTAGTGAAAGAGGGTATTTATAGAGAGACCCTAGTGCAGGGTTGTTGCACCCCAAAATTTGCCCAACCTTTTCTTTACCTGGTTTATGTTTCATTGCATTTTCATAGCATTAGCATTTGCATACCATTGTTCATTTACAGAGGATTGAGAGAGGTGTTCCTAGCAAGAGGAGATTATCAAAGTTTCTAATCCTAAGCAAGAGGTCTCATTCAAGCTATCAAGAGTTTATCATCCTCAGAAGAAAGTTAAAAGTTCTTTGAAAAGGCAGATGAATAGTTGTGGTTTGCCTCCTATCTTGGAGGCCATGTGGAAATCATCAGATGATGTTGAGTCCATATTTAGGGATGGAGAACATTACATAAGCTCATGGTATGTCTTTAGGGTCATTAAGGGGCTTGTGAAGTCATTATATCAAGTGTAAGAAGTCATAGTCAAAAGTGATGCAGTTAGGGTTTTCATCTGGTTAACCCTAAGTCAAATGTTGAATTAAGGGAGATTAAGACTTAATTCCAAGTCTTTATGATCATGGAATATTGTGTTGAGATGTATAAGATGATATTCCAAGATCAAATAAGGAAGAATCAAGAGTGTGAGAAGTTACTAAGCCAGGGTTTCTAAGCTTGTTAGTGTAAAATCCCCTGTTTAGAGCCTAACCTCAAGACCACATATCTCAAGCTACAAGTTTCATCTCATCTTGACCCCAACATGAAACTTGTAGATTATGTTTCTAGATTTATTTTGAGTACTAGAACTCATCCATTGGGTTTCTAGAGCTCAAGTTATGAAACTGGCAAGTTACAGGTCATCAGATGAATGTGATTTTGGTCATCAAAAGTCAACCAACTTCCTAGACATTTTTGACCTAAAAGGATGTTTCTCCTCACTT